GATTCTACAGGAGGTCGATTACAATGAGAAAATCGAGGGTGATCCTATTGAATTATTGAGACGCATCAATAAATTTATGACGACCAGTGATGTGACAGACTGGGAACCCATTACATTGTGGGAAGCATCACAGAAATGGGTGAATTGTCGTCAGAAAGGAAATGAAACGGTAATTGAATACCGTAAACGATTTGAAGAATGCGCAACTACAGTATTATCTTTCATGGGTGATTCGTGGCTAGATGTGTTTGCCTCAAAGACGACCGCATATCATGAAATTAAAAACAATCATCCGACTAATGGTTTATCGGATAGAGAAAAGAAGCGAGTTGCCGCAGAAGTCGAAGCACTTCAAGAAGAATTTCAGGAAGAGTTTGTAAACTTGTTCTGTGCTGCTGGGTTACTGCACAACTGTGATCGTGCACGATACCAGCCGGTACTTGATCATTTTGTTACTGCATACACTGTGGAGCACGTGGATTATGCTCAGCGAGATTTGTTTCCGAGAGATGTGGAAACTGCAGCCAAGGCGCTACACAATCATCGGGTTAAGAAAACAACAACACCAAAACATAACAACAACAACAACACAAATGATAAAGCGAACACACCACAGAATGGTACTAACCTTGCACAGGATTACAACAAGGAGAGTAAGCGTAAATGTTTTTGCTGTGGTAAGGCGGATCATGTTGCACCGCGATGTGAACATCGATTCCGACCCAAGGAACAATGGAAAGATCCGACAAAATGGAGATCGTATCCCAAGAATGAATCGGGACGCAAACAGGTACACCTGCAGGCAAGCACCGAGGATGGGTCTTTGCAGTCAAGTGTGACAGCTAACACCACAGGTACGCTCGCTACCAATGATGGTGGTATTTCTCAGCAGAACCATATGCAGACTGGTTCGGCTGACAGGAGTGGTGGTCCACAGCCTCGAAAGCAAAAGATTGGCATTCAGGGGTGGAATATGGCTCAGTTTGGCGGACGTACGAGAAGACCGCCGCCTATTTTAAGACCTTCAAGATTTGGGACGTCACCACCACATGACATAATGGCAAACTGGCAGGTACAATTGGATGCTGTCAGAGCAGCTGAAGAAGACAACAGTGTTACAAGTACGCAGAGCTCCAACATACAGGTTGGTAGGGAAGTAGCTGTGATGCATTCCCAAGCTCATCAGGGACTCAAGTACAAGGTTAGCAGCGATCTGGTATATCTTGATTCAAATGATTATAAGGATGGCAAGATTCCGGAGCATTTTGATATGCATGATCCGAAGTGGTTTCGCTCGGGCGCAACAGGTCCGTCCCTTGACACTGGTTTGACATTTCATCTCCGCAAAGATTCGATGAATGCGAAGATGGGAACATTGAAAGAGCTTCCGTATATGTTCAATTATGGAACAAATGTCGGAGGAGGAAGGAATCTAACACATGAAGTTGAGAGTAAACACATGAATAATATGTGTAAGTATGACGCCGATGCGATCTGTGATGTGGACAGTGCGTCGTTATTGGTAAAAGAAGGGTATCGTATCGTGATGGATACCAACGTAGAAAATGCATTTTTTGTTTCCAAAGATGGGAATCAATGGATTTACAGAGAAAAGGATGGGTTGTATACTTATGATCCCCATGAGGGGCAGAGTCATTGCAATGTGTGCATGGAAATTGGACCGACGGGTGAAGCCTGCAGGTCGTGCAGAGCCCACGGTGGTTTCGTGCCGGGTGAATCGTATCATGGCGGCAACGATAATACAACTAGTCAACATACTTCCCGTTACTCTGGTCTCCAAACTGTAAAAAAGAACATAGAGGGTTACACCCCACGACAAGTTGACCGAGCAAACGCTGCAAGATCCGGGTATCACATGGGTGGTGCACCAGGGATTGAAGCATTCAAAGTTGCCGTACGCTCCAGTTTATTCAAGAATTGTCCCATCAGAGAAGAAGACATTGTTATTGCTGATAAGATTTATGGACCAAGCGCTTCAGTTCTTAAAGGAAAGACTAAGCGTCCATGATTGGGTTGAGATCCCACGTGAATTGTTGGTCCACAACATTGATTTGAATTTGCATCTGGATATTGCATTCATCAACAACACATTCGGATTGACTACAATTGATGGTGGTGTCCGATACCAAACTTTTGTACCGCTACAAAGCAGGACTGCGGAGTCGTTGTATGACGCAATCGATCACGTGTTGCGCATTTACAACCATGCTGATTTTACAATCAAGACTATCTACTGTGATGGTGAATTTAGACCAGTTTTCGATGATGTTAAAGATGAGATGAATGTTGATATGAATTATGCTAGCCGGGGGGAACATGATCCCACGGCGGAACAAAACAACCAACATATCAAGGCGTTGTTCCGTGTCCAATACCATCGCATGCCGTATAAGGCCATTCCAAGGATTATTACTGAAGCTATTGCAAAACGAGTTGCACAAACTTCCAACTTTTACCCCGCCAAAGGGGGTATTTTGGCTTATTACAGTCCTCATCTGATTTTGTTGCAACGCCAAGTTGATTATTCGAAGGAATTTGTTGCTGAACTTGGTTCGTATGTCCATGGTTATGGACATGATACTCGCAGTGATCATCAGTCACACACTATTGAGGCGATTTACTTGGGACCAGCCGATAAGATGCAACAGGGTCACAAGCTATATGAAATGTAAAATATGTCGTGTCGCGATAGACTTACTAGGAGGATGATAAAAGTAAAGGAAAGTTGATAGACGTTCGTAAAAGGAAATCTAGAAAGTTGTGATGATGTGTGTGGTCCATCACCGATTCTGTACGTTACTGCGTACAGACT